AAAAGCGATTTGAGCGTCGAGGGTGCGTCTTTCCTTCGACGGAAAGAGATATTTAAGGAAGGAATATTTTATTAGTTTCGATTGAAATTTAAACGGGAAGCAGGAAGTTTTCTTCGACCCCACTTTGAGCCATATCCCTGCATAACCGCTTCGAAACAGTAATTCATTGAATATCGTGTAGAGCATTCCTATAATTTAAGTCTGTGAATGACAATTGAAACATCAAGCGACATATATGTTTATGCGTGGAATTTATTTATTAATTTGTAATAAAAAAATAGTATTTGTGGAAACATTAAAAAATTTCCTTTATTTATAATTTCTTATAATCTTAATTATCAATTAAAATACGAATATGAAAAAAACAACAAACATTGATGAGTATCAAATAACTTAATTAAATTAAATTAAAATTCTGACTTCCGACAGTAACAGAAAGCTCGATGCTTGCTTCGCGATTCTGAGATGGCAAAGAAATTGATACGAATCTTAATGCCGCTAAGACGACTCTTTCGCAATTAGACTTTTTAATTTTTATTAGCGACGTCCGCTCGTCCGTCTAAGCATATGCATAATGCCATGAATATTTTCGCCGTAACTCTGCCAACTTGTCTCCCAAGGAATTAACCCTTAAATTAGCAGTTAGCCTCAGACGCAAAGTCCCTGCGTCCCGGTAAATTAGAACCTCTCGTAGCCTGTGCTGATGCTTCTCTCTCCCTTTCGCTACTCTCTCTCTCTCTCTCTCTCTCTCTTCCCTTTTTCTTTCTCTTTCTTTTACGTTTCGTCCATCGTTTGACTCTCTCCCTCTCTTTATCAAAACTTTTCTGAATCGTCTTTGCGAATGCCACCCCGTGACACCTCCGCCAAGAATACTAGCTTGACGCGACTTGATAATCCCTCTCCTTATCTTTGTTCTTCGTCTCTCTCATAAATCGATTCTCGGTGCAAATCGACAAAATTTTTAAATGATTATTTTAGTAATGGCATTCTAAATTAAATAGATGTAAATATAATTTTTATCAAACTGTATTTCGAACTACCGTATATCAATGTCGATAGATTCTTTTCACATTGATGCATAAGCTGAAAACTCCGGAATAGCCGGAAATGCGGATGCAATTCGCGGCCGTGATAGAGAGGAGATTTCAATGCCGGTCGAAGCCACGAATCGAAGTCCGAAGCAGCATCGGCTGCGATTCGTGTCCGATCAAGATAGACTCGAAATCATTCTCTTTCTTCGACGACAGCTTTCGCCATTCTCCGACCATGTTGAGAAATGCCAGCACATGGACCAATTTAAAGCTCCAGCAGATATACGACGTTTAGCTCGACCAGTGGAACTTATTGCACTTCGTGCTCTCGCCTGGCACGGAGCTTCCGAGCTCGCCCGGTCCCGGGGCTTATTTAAGCCGGCTTCCTAAGTGCGCATACTAAATATGATAATATTGCAACGGCAAAAAACGTCAGCGGTATTTAGTCTCCTAATTAGGGGATCGTGACTCGTTTGCGAATTTCGTTGCTTTTCGCCTTCTTCCAACTGCGTCTACTACTATGCCCCTACTTCTTCTTCTTCTTCTTCTTCTTCTTCTTCTTCTTCTTCTTCTTCATCCTTTTCTGCCGTTCTTTCTGACAATAAACGAAGTGACAAACAGACGACGTGATGCTATAAACTTTGAGAAAGCGTAATTTTTGTTCCTACCAGATCTCGCGCGATACACGTTACATTTTGCAAAAATGCTGTTAAGATCACAATTCAATATGTGAAATTGATTGATCAAACAACATTCTTTATTTGTGCAACATTTTTATAACCTGATAAGCTAAATTATATCGAGAGGTGTGTTTTTGATTTTTATTTCAATCTCCATTAAAATTTTGAAGAAATCATCTATTGATTATCGAGACTATAAATGACCTCTTTTCATGCATCGTCAAAAATCATTAGGCGTACAATTTATGAAGCTTTGCAAGGAAAAATATCTGCATCCTGTCCAATGTGAAAGACCCTATCCTTCGTATTTCCGCACGATGCATTGCGCATGCAGCCGAGCTTTCTTAACGAATCCTGGAGAGCCACTCGATGACTGGCTCGATGGTACCAGTAGGGGAACGATGACGGCGAACTAAGGAAGAAGGACGGAGGGGTAGGGGGGAGAACTTCCGTTCGTTACGAAGCATCGTGAGAGAGAAAATAGCGGCTCCTCGCGCGGGGGGTGGCCGGACCGGCGCGATGGACCTTGTGGGTGGTACCAGTTCGAATCCCGGAATGCCTCGTCGAGGTTCGCACGCCCAACCCCCGTCCTAAGCATCACGGGGTGAGGTGTGCGGAACCGACGGCGGCGGTGGCCGCTTCCACCCCCACCGTACGAGACCGAAGTGGTTGCGCCTCCACTACCCCCGGTATTTCGTCTCACCCATCCCCTGCGTTGTTGCCTCTCCCACACCTGCGGGAGAAAGAGAAAGACGGGTATACTCTTTTCTCTCTTTCTCTCTCGTTTCGAGGCGCTAGTCCGGCGTTTTGTACGACTCGGTGAATCCACTTGCTCGACAGCCAGTCGAGTACGTAGCGCAGCGCGTTGCCTTTGCAACAGAGTGGGGATGAAATTTACGATTGGAACGAATCCTGGTTCCGCTACTATCTCGACTGCGGCTGCGGCAGCGGCGTCGGTACCAACGACGTACGCCGCGCGCTTCCGAGGAAATAGAAACCCTGGGTCCTTTGTGCATTTCGTAAATACATCACGCGAATACGTGCCCCCGGGGATCGGAGTTTTTGTATGAAAAATTTTGTTTACGAAATTCTCCCTGGCAAACGTAACGTTGCGTGGATTTGCGGTTTTTGGAACGGAATTCTGTTTAGATAGGATCTACGTTCCTTATACACATTTATAATATTCATTTTTAACACGCCTTTGATACGTATATTATATTCTTGGCAAAATTTGTAACATTTATTCAAACGTATATTCTAATTATAAGATCATTTTTTATACTGGTGAATTTTCATTTTTATCTAAAAGTTCTCTACATAATAAAATTTAGACTTATATGCAATTATTTATAGCACTTCTACATAGTACGAAATAAAACTCACAGTAAGCTAAAACATCTATATAGTTATTTCTGTACAATAATCACATTATAATTTGAAGAAGAAATGTGCATGAAACTTTTCATTATTTATTAATGATAAATAAATTTTATAAATAATTTTTTATATTAGACAAGTGTCTTTGAAACCTCAATTGCTGAAGTATTTTAAAAATCTCGATCGTTTCGGTATGTTGCATAGGTAAGAGGCAAAAAAGGGAAATGAAAATACCGCTCGTAGATTTGCCAAGTCCTAATTACGTGTCTCTGAAAGAGCGGGATTGACGCAAAGAAAATCGCGAGAGCCGAGCCGCGGATTCCGGTCAGGTTGCGCTTCGAATTAGGATTCTTCCGCGAAGGCGGAGACGGCCCGCTACGATCCACCCTCGCCGATCCAGAAATTACCCGAGGGAAGTGATGTATGAAGGGGTAGGGGTGGTGATATAAGTGCACGTTGGCCGTTCTCCGATTCTCCTACTTGTTACCGGCGCGCGCGAGCTTACGAATGTACTATCTACACCCGCTTGTATGCGCTCTCAACGCGCGTGTCCAGGTATTCGCGAAGACGCGTGGTGGAGGAACGCGCGGTAGAGGACATCGACAAAATCATCCCTACCTCCCGCCCTCCTTCCCGCACCGTCCCGGCCGCGCACGCTATTTCAGGACGTCCCAGGCGTCCCTTTGGCACATCTCTCTCGCGTCTCTCTGTCTCTTTCGTTCTCCATCTCTTTTCCACCCATTCAAGCCGGGCTCACCTACCGCGAAAAGAGCGAGAAGGGGGTGGTTAGAGGGCAAGAGGATATGCGGAGAAAGATGAGAGGGGGAGGGTGGAAACGACGGGACGAGTGGAAGCCGCCCCGGTCGACACAGCCGTAATGATTTTGTTTTAAGGGCGTGTTTAATTATGAATCCGCATCCGGGTGAGGCTCCACCCCCCTTTGCGCGCACCACCACCAACGGCGGCAGACCCTGCGGAAGCTCGCGAGGGGGGTGGTAGGGTACGCGGCACGGCGAGGGCGAAGAGAGCGCGGCGGAGAAGGAAGAGGCTGTTGCCGGCAGCTAGGTGGCCCTCTTTCGGTCTTAATTGCACCGTATATTACCCATGCGGTATTTCTAATTACTTATTTTTGCTCGGCCCCGGCCGAACTCGCTCGGATGCCTCTAATATCTTTGGCAGGCCAGCTGTACGCATTTAATTGGCGCGTAACGAGCTGATGACGTGCCTCTTAATCCCTCCCCCTCCCCTCCCCCTTATCGTTTCAAACGGATGCTGCGAGATTGTCAGATGCGTCTTCGAGACTTTGGCGCGGATACGCATGCCGAGACAAATCAAAGCATATTCTTGTGACTAATGTACAGACTGTGTCAAAATTATATTTTTTTTTACTCGGAAATTTTATTTTAAGTTGACTTTTTCTAGCAAAAATTGAATTATTATTTGTTACAAATTTTTAATTTTAAAATGCGGATTAAAGATCTCCTTACAATTAAATTTTAAGTAAACATCTGTTAAGTTAAACTTGTGTGAGTTAATATCGATTGAATTGACAGTTTTATCTTCCATTTTAAATTTTATTTTTAAACTTAATTTTTCTTAAAATTTTTAAACAAACAAATCTCTTAAATATTCAATGTTGATTCGCATAATTAAGAATAAGGAACTATATAGATATCAGCAAGTATAATAATATTAAATCAATAAAATCTCTCTCACAATTATGTATTATATAGAAGATAAACGATGTCTCAAAATACTAAAAAAGCTTTTCACCTACGATTGCGAACGTTGGTACACTGGTATTCATCGTCTGAAAAACTTATATTTTTTTTCTGCTGCCTGCAGTCCTTAAACGGAACGATGTCTCTTTCTCGTCATTTCTCGCGAGTCAAAAATCAGTCTTTTTTTGAAGTCGCTGTAAACCTAATATCATCCATTTCCGCGAAGGTACAAAAAGAGAAAGCAGCTCGTTGATCTCAGAGAAGGCAAAGGAAGCAGCCGACTGACAGTGAAAAGCGGGTACGAGCAGAATGGCCCGTTGTGTGAAATCGCGAGTCAACGGCACATTTAGCGGTCGCATTTGAGAGGGTTTTAACCGCGGTTAGCTCTGCTTGGTTTAATCTCAACTGCGCGTTCGCGACAGCCACCTGAGCGCGGATAACCCTTTCGCGCGTCGCTCGTCACGATCTATGACATTCGCCCGCCACCGCGCGACATCGTCTTGCGATTATTTTTTTTTTTTTTTTGTGCTCTTTATACCCGCCGTCACAACCACTCGACGGACGTTTGTTCCTATTGCCAAAGTGAAAGAGTAAGGTCGCTGAATGTTTACAAGACGCGTCCATTCTCGCGACGGAGAATCGTAATTGCGCGAGAAGATACGTCGGGTCGCGGTATAAAATTTCAGTGGCCGTTACGAGCGGAAAGAAAACGCTGTTTGAAATACGAGACCCGGCTCCTTCCTTCGAGATTATCTTCCACGAGAAATTATTTTCTACATGTCTGAATCTGGATGTCTCTCTTTCTCTCTCTCTGTCTGTGGGATTTGCTCTTTGCGGCATCTCAACTCTAAAATCTACGTACGCGATCCGCGCAAGTATATCCTCGGGCGCGTAAAATGTACACACTTAGTAAAAGATGTAAAACATCCGACTTTTAATAAAGTTGCATAAATATGATATTTCATGAAGTTTATCGTGACATTAGAATACGGTTGGAATCAATCAATATTAATTCAAGTAGTATAACATTTTATTCATAAAAGTCGCTCTAGAGGGAAAGAAAATCACACTATAATCAAACATATTTTTTACGTATTAGATTTTTTTGAATAAATAATAATGGAAGAAATAAAAATAAATGCAGAAAGGCAAAATATGAATTATTCTACTGATAAATCTTTTTCACAAATTTCTACATTTATTTATTACATATTTTCTCGTACCAGCATTAAATTTGCAGAAATATAGCATCCATTAAATAATATCCATTTATATTATTCGCGAATACACAATGGAAAGATGGGAAAAGATAATTATTACCTTTGCCATTTGCATTCTACATGACTAACCTACCGAAATCCGGAGCAACCGGAAGAATAGAGAGCGAAATCTTCCCAGGCGGGATTCTCGCCACTCCCGCGACTGCAGAAGATTACACACAGTATCTCTTATCCCGCTGATGCAATCACTCCGCCCCCTTCGCAATTCTCGCGAGCGGGGCATAATAATGTGGCCACATACTCGGCCTTTTGCACGAGCTCCAGGGTTCTGTAAGAGGGTGCGCGTTCATTCCGTGCCGTCCCGCTCGGACCGGTCATCCCGTCGTAGGACGACACAATTAAAATAGCTATGCTTACCAGCGCGCCCCTAAGGGATGCATCAGGAGGTACGGGGCGTAGGAGGACAACGGTCGAGGAACGAGCAGCAGCAGTAGGAGAAGGAGGAGGGTAGCACCCCCGGGGGTACCCGCGGGAGGGTGCTGGTAAGTTCTTTCCGCTCGGCTGCAGGCAGAAAGGGAATTATTTTAATTGCGGACAGCCTCGGTCGACCAAACTCCACCCCGTGTTTCTCCCTCCCTCCGTCTATCTACCCTCTTGCTCTCTTTCCTCGTCCACGTGTGAGACTTTCCTCACGCTGATTCCGTCTCTTTCTTCCGCCGCGTCTCCGCGTACGTTATCTTTCTCCCGTCCCTTTTCTCTTTTACGTTTCGTCGGAGAGCACATTCCATCCCCCGCTATTGCTGGGGTTTCTCGACTTGCACGCGTTTACCTACCTGCGTAGCTAAAACTCCCGCGGGTCCGGATCGTCAAGATCCGCTTTCATATCGCGAGACTCGGTGCTTTACGCGCCAGGTCGAAATCGTATAATGTAACCAAATATATTTCATACTTACTGTAATTATTTAAACATGGTTATGACAGAGACAAAAATGATAAAATGCTTGCTTTAGAGAATTTTTTTTATATTACCATATTTTCAGATATCTTCAGATTTAATAAAAAGAATAATTATGTTTAAAAGCAATGATATACTAAATTTGAATATTTAAGTTCATATTATTTCAATATTAATATTATATATATACAATAGTGTAGAAAATAGTAATACAATAATAATTCTTTAGAGAAAAATAATTCAAGTTATGTCTCTTTTTAAATGGAATGAACAAACGTAATAACCACAACGCGTAAAACTCATCGCGATCAGTGCTATTACGCTTGTATTAATGTTCATAAATTAGCCAGGAAAATAACACGCGGATCTCGTCGTCTAGTATACAACGTAGCTCACGCCATATGATGCCCCGAGTACACTTAAATCTTACACGTTCCCTTTAGGGCAAGCCTAGTTGTTACATATAGAATCGGACGCGCCGACCGACCCTGCACGATCGCCCACCTTGAAAAAGGACGCGCTCGGAATATTGCACCCACTTCGGTCGCAAACAACAAACGTCTTTCCTGACTCGATCCCCCGCCTCGAGTGTCGTGGTCCGTCTTGCCGTTTCCCTGGAAGCAATGGCCGTACTAACGAAAGTGCCACTGCGCTGACCGCCGTTAGCGAAACGATGCCGCGAGCGATTAGTGTCACGCGAGAGAAAAAGAGACTGCCTCCGCGGTGCTTTAAACGATATATTTCGAGCTGACAGATAAAGTGCCCTTCGATGGAGATTTCGGTGTTTGTACCGTGAAAGTGCGATAAAAGTTTGACTTTTAATTAGCAGAGAATGATTACAGCATTATTTATTTTATAAAAAATGCTTTATTTCTTTTTTAATATTTTTTATGATATACATATTAATTTTGCAAAATTTTTATGGAGGGACTGCGTGTATGTCAAATATCTCAGCATCCTAACATTATTAATATAATAGAATATTCTCTGTATATCGTCAATCTATCTTTTATCTAAAAGTTAATCTATTAATTATTTTTTTGTAATAATGATTAATTCTTTAAAATATTTTTTCTTTGTGAAGAATTTAGTAAATTATTCAACACAACCATATGATATTGAAATGTAAAGTTATTTTTACATATTGTTTTGCAATTACTAATACACTCGATAAAGTATAAAAGAAAAGAGTTCACTAATCTTAAAGTTATATATACGTTGAAAATCTTAGAAAGAGAGACATCGGATGTGCGAAGCAGCGAAAAAAGTCCTCGAAGGAATAATTCGTAAAATCCGAGAGCAGGCGTCAGAAAGGGGAACTCGGCGCGGCACTCGAGCCGAATCGTTCGGGGTTAAGAAGTGCAGCGTTTGAAAGAATCTACCGGGTAGCCGCCTGCCTTCTGGCGAGATTGCAGTTTTCGAGCGTCCGCTTCCGGCCTGCCGAGTCTGCCGGAGGAGAACGTCGGTCGTCGTCTCATTGTTGAACGGGCGGAGGCCCACATATTCGCTCGCGGCGGCGCTGCGATGACGCAATTACCCACCGCGGGAAAATAATTAATAACAATTAATCTCTCGTGTATGGCAGCGGCCGGACGCCGCCGCCGCGCCGTCGTTACCCGGCCGCCCAGTAATTATGCCCGGATTATAAAGGTCGAGAGCCACCGCGAGTACTGAAGGGCTGTTCACTCGAACTGTTCACTTGGCATTTACACTTGCGGAACACCCCGCATCGCTCGAGGCCCCTACCCCGTTTCAACCCTCGCGTGCTGTCTTTTTCTCTCTATCTCCCTTTCTCTCACATACACATACATTTTACTTTTTCGTTCTCGTTGCTTAACCCTTGATACAGCCTCCCTCGCACCAACTTCGCGCTGTTAGACTACCTTTTACACCGCGGAAACAATGAAGCGAACTACTCTCTTTGACCCACCCTCTTATCGTTCGTCGTCGAAAAGACCTTCCGGTTTTCGGCAGGCAACTTTTTCAGAATCGATTTCCCCATGCAAGTTTCCTTTCTGCAATCATTTAGATTCTGCACCATTCTTGCAGAGCTTACTGCATCTTATTATCTGCTCTAATTTCAATATTCTTACTACAGAAACAGATTTTTCTTTTACTTTTTCTTAGAAAATATATATTGAATATATTTCTATTAGATAAATTTATATCCAACATAGGTAATATCAAGTTGATATGATCGGCAACTGTGTAATAGACGTATCAATTTTACGCAATGACAGCAAATCATTTTTCTTTTACGCAATAAAGAATAATTTCCTAAATGTCGTCAAAAAAATATATACAAGAGAATAATTTTCTGAAGCTCGATGACAGCGGCTTCAGCTTTTCGGACGTCAAATTCGGGAACAATCAGTACACGTAACGAATAAACGAAAGTTGCCAATAAATTTTAGTATATTTCTTCTCCTGATGTTATCATATATTAAAACATAATTAAGTCGTCGACTTTCATGAAGATCTCTTTTTAGAACGAGTTGTCTGAATGATAATCGAACTGTCTCCCAGTACTATTTATGATGTTTCCACCGGCACGTGCTACTAATTTAAAAAAGTCACCGCTTGTCTTGCGAAAATAATTATCCGGCAAATGTTATCACGCGACATGACTGTGACAGAAATATATCGAGCTGATCGCAAACAGCATCAGACATTCCACGGTTACATTAATCTATTTCCAAATATTTCCATCGTCTCCACCCTCTTTCATTCTCTCTCTCTCTCTCTCTCTCTTTTTATGCTCCTCTCGTTCTCTCATAGTTGTCGTAACCTCCTCTCCGTGCACCGTTCTATATGCACACCGGATCTGGAGGCCCGAGCATTTGCGGCTCGTAATGATTATTATACGCATGTAACTCGCGTCCGCCACCTTTAACCCCGTCGTCGACATCGTCGCCGACGTCGTCGTCGTCGTCGTTGTCGTTGTCGGGTATTACCATTTGGACGGGCGCGCGCGTTAATTTCACGTGACAAAAACACACGACGCGGATTCGCCGATGCTGA